TATAGCATGTATATACAAAGATGTTATGTATATATGAATAAAACATATTGACAGATAGTGGACCCTTTAGGAGATGGGACCTAGTAGAAAGAGATTCGATCGATGGAGGTGCACCCTTGAGAGGAATATTGAGATCTATTACTTGCTTTCTATTTAATTCTAGGTCACTACAGGGTGTGAAGCTTCCTTTGCCATGTGTTCCCTACCCATGATGTTTTGCTCTGTCAGATTGAAACCTCAGTTTCAATTGTGAAGTCAATATGAGTTACTCCTCTAAGTTAATGGTTCTCAAAGTTCTTAATGCTGTGATCCTTTAAGGCAGTTCCTCATGCTGTGCTGACCTCCAACCATAAAATTTTTTCGTTGCTAGTTCCTAACTGTAATTTTGCTACTGTTGTGCATCATAACTTAAATAGCTGATATTCAGGATATCTGATGTGCAACACTTGTGAAACGGGTCACTGCCTATAGGGTGAGAACCACTGCTCTAAGTTGTCATTCTGAGATATTTTGTCACACTCATAGAAAACTGCTTAACAGAGGGTCAAGGAGCAGATCCAAGTTTTGAGGCCAAAAAGGTACCACTTACTGAGATAATTGCTACTAAATGATTTTCACATGCAGACAGGAGCTCCCTGCTCTAATCTCCTATGATGTCTCTGCTCTATCTACTCTAATCGCAACAAAGTCTTTGCTCCCACCACAGCCCATGGACGGCTATGACAACACCAGAGTTTGAGGGGCCTGACTCTCCTTGTTTCTCAAGTAGAAAGAGACAGGAGATAACCTATGTGAACTCACAGTTCTTGAAATTTGGTGTGACATCAGTTTGATGGAACCCCCTCAACAATGTCTTACATATGTGCCTGATTCTGTGCACACAGGTTTTGGGCAAACAATTGCCTTCCTTTTTGAGGAGACAATACCACAATGAGCTTTTTAATGAAAAAAAAATAAAGAAATAAAAAAAATAGCTATCTCTTTTCCTCATTCCGGCAGGTGCCCAACCAGGTTGACTCGCTGGAGTGCATTTTCTGCATTCTTAATAGATAGCTAGCAGGAAACGCCTTGCACAGCCCCAGCTAGAGGGGTAGAAAATCTCAGAGGGAGGGAAGGTACTCATCCCCTGCTCCTGCTTCCACAGTTGTTGAGCTACTCCAAAGCAGGAGGATTCTGCGGTCTCAGATAACTGCAGAGGATTAAGGTAGGAGAAGCTGCGGACTTGAGAGTAGGAAAACAGATGGAAATCCACCGTGGGAGTGAATTGGAGGACTTGATATACTGTCCTAAGTGAGATTCAATCTGGCCTTTTAGGGGTGTTGCTTCAATTGGTCATGGTGACAACCACTGTCACTGGTTGTGCATCCCACCCTGGGAGTACTTGATGCATTTTGCAGGAGTGTGGTGAAAGTGTCTATATAGTGCCCCTGTGGCAGACTGGAGGCTAGACTTCTGGCTTTGGATTCCTTCTTCTGAGATGTTCTACAGTAGTTTGGATAATATTTCAGGGTCTACTTGGAATACTCTGGGTCTTTATTTTTGGTCGTGATCTCTCCTTTGAGTCAGCTCTGCAGTATCTTCTTCACCCAGGTCACGCCACCCCTCTCTCATTGAAAGATGAGGTGCTCAAATTTTTCATAGGGATGTGGTGAAATTTTGTTCTAATTAAAACAAATGACAATTCAGATTGTGTATCCTTTGAGAATTGTTTTACTCATTTTTCTAAGTCGGGGTTCACTGCGTTGCCCAGCTTTGTTTTGATCTCCTAGACTCAAGTGGTCCTTTGGCTCTAATCTCCTCAACGTGCTGGAACCACATGGATACGTCATAACACATCCAGATTAACTCTCTGGATTTAAATATCCATCAATTGTAATATCAAATGGAGTCGAGTATAGTCCAGAGAATTTCTAGTAGGCTGGATCCAGGGAAGTTACACTTGTTGAGTGTGTGTTCCTGTGTGTGTGGAGGGAAAGGGGAGTGGTGGTAGAAATTGTTCATTTAAGGTCTCTTCTAGCCTACAGTATGCGCTCTTCAAGTGAGCTGTAATGCTCTCTGACTTTTCCCTGGTATGGTCATGTGCTGTGTGCTTTCTTAGTCTATACCCAGTGAGACTAGAAAAAATGTGTTTGTGGCCATGCTATCCCAAGAATCTGGCTAGTTTTATTCTGTGTGGCTTCAGGGGCAATTAGCTAAGAGATTGCAAGCTGTGTCAAGCCTGAGCCAAGCACAGTAGCTGCTGGCAAGGTAGATCCCGAGATGACTGTCCTACAAAAGTACTAAGCGGCACCTGCTGCATCAGACAGTTGGAGTCTTCAAGGAAAGCCCGAAGGAGAAGGCTGGGGGCTTTGCTTGCATTCCTTGAGGGACTCCATATGTCCTGGCCCACAGCCCATTGAGGATGAGTGGTGTACCCCATCCCCAGATTTGATAGATGGAGAGACTGAGGCTAGAAAAAGGAGAGAAAATTTTCTACTCATCAGTTCGAATTCTTAATAGCAGATGGAGGTGAGCCTGAGAGACCCGAAATGCCAGTTTTGCCACTATCTAGTCTTATTTCACCTTCTCTACCATCTACTTTGCTTATTTTAAAATGGGGATGATAATGTCTACTTTGAAGGTTAAAACACTGGTGACGATATATAGACAGATTGTAGTAAAAAAAGGTATTGTATAGATTGTAGCTTTAAAATGCTATTGTCTCCACATGCTTGTTCTTTTATCATCCCCAATACCTATTATTTGTATTGACAACTCCAAGAATCTGAATATACAGATTATTGTTTATCGAGGAATAATTCACTTACTGTGAAATAGATCTACGGTGTACAATTTTGATGAGTTTTGACAAATGTAGTAACAGCCATCTTCATCAATTCAAAGGTAAGACACGGCCAATCACAGGGTATTTCAGTGCCTATAACCCTAGCTCTCAGGAGTCTGTGGCAAGAGGAGTACACATTGGAGGTCAGTCTGGGCAGCAGAGAGACCTTGCGGTACACCTTCATATACCGGGGGGGGGGGAGACATGGGACATGGGCAACATGGTGAGGGTTCCTTCTTGCCCCTTTCTTCTCAGTCTCTGCCAAAAGCATCCACTCTGCTGGCTTCTTGCACCATAGGTTATATGTACTTGTTTTTATGGGGTCTTCTTCATTTGGCCTTTTCACACAATATAACGCGATCCATCTGTGTTGTGTGTAGTGGTAGTTTTGTTCTACTTTATTGCTAAGTAATATTCCATGGTATGAAAATATCACAGACAAAAAATGTAGTTCCTGGTAATAGACTTACTTAATTGGTTTCCTTTGGGGGAATATTGTAAACACAATTGTCAGTAATGCTTACATAGAAATATCTGTATGTACATGGCTGAGGTAGAATAATTTGAAAGGAGAACTGTTTAGAAAGATCCCTGTTCAAGGCCACCCTGGTCTACAGAGCAAACTCCAAGACAGCTAGGACTACACAGAGAAGCTCTGCATTGAAAAGCAAAACAAAAGAAAACAAATTAGAAAGATCCCCTGCTTGTTGCCAAATTCCTTCCTAATATCCCCAGCACAATCTAACCATAAGAGAACCATATAAGACTAGCTGAAGAATTCACACTCTTCAAATCCTTTTAAGAATAATAGAGGGATTCATTATCCTCTACCTCAGGCCTCCTGACTCCTAATCTATGATTTCCTTGCATTGTACTCTCACTACATGAAATGGCATTCAACCATTGTTTATTGAGCATCAAGAAATTTGCCAGAAGGGCTCCATGACATGTAGGATCTCATATACTATACATAGAGGCAGTCTACTAAACCCTACTCATTTTTTGTTATATTCACAAAATTGAATGGATGTACTATATCTTTAGCCAGAGTACACAGCAAGTCTGCTTGATTTTAAACACAAAGAAGCTGTCTGAGAGAGGCTACTTCCCCTGGTAAAGGTGGCCTGACCCTGTCCTTGGTGCAAATAGAGACACTAACTTGAAGGAGAGTCATGAAAGAAATGGCAGGGTTGGGCATGCTGCTGTGAATTCCAGCTCCAAGGCAGTACAACATACAGCTGCTGAGCAGTGGCAAACAGAACATACAAACTTCAGCTTTCCACTAGTGTGCCTGTAATATCTTGTCATAAAAGTGGGTTTGGGAGACCTCTTCGGGTTACAAATACATGTGTCTGAAGACCTTCAAGATGGTCCTGCTGTGATTGCTAGCTTCTAAGATGAACAGGGTTCTGTGCAGGACAGTTTCAGGGGTGGTTTGGTGTGGTTTACTCTCCTGCATGGATGTGGTCAGGCTGGAAAGCAGTGCTGCTAGACAGTACCTAGCCCACCCTGGATGGCTCGGTTCAGCTCTTGAGGGAATCTGCATGATTTGGCTCTGACCCGACCTTGGTTCATGCATCTGGGAGGAGCTAGAAGGCAAATCACTCTGTTATTTGGTCTCAGTGTTCTGCCACTTCTCTCCTGGTGCTTTTCTAGTCTGGCGGCTTGATAATCCCCTTTTGTAAGAGAAGGTCACTATCTATCAGTGCTTGGCCAGCCTTGGGAATGCTGTTTCCTGAACCCTTAGTATATTGATGGGCTTGTGCTGTTTTTTCAAGAATCCTGTGAGGACCTGTACTTTTAGGAGCAAACTGTTTATTCTTAAGAATGGGACAACATAGTCAACGTACTTTATGCATCCACTTGAAAATGTTCTTCTGAAAATCACAAGTGTCAATTAAAAGAAAAGGAAAAGTTGCCATTCACCCAAACTTCAATTGAGTCACTTGGTGAGATAGGGCCAGTGACACTTCCTTGTTTATTTGTTTTGTTTTGAGACAAGGTTTCTCTATGTTGCCCTAGCTGTTCTGGAACTAACTATGGTAGATCAGGCCTGCAGTAAACTCACAGAGATCTGCCTGCCTCTGTCTCCCAAGTTCTGAGATTAAAGATGTGTGCCACCACCTCCCGGCTGACATTTTTATTTGGTTCACAGCTCTCGCCTGTATCGCTCACTCATAATGGACAAAATAAAGAAGATTGGCGTACAGATGCCTAAAAGCAGGCAAAAACCAGTAAAGACTGAGTGGAATGCCCGGTGTGTCGTTTTCAGCTATTTCCAAGGGGACATCAGCAGTGTTGTGGATGAGCACTTCTCCAGGGCTCTGAGCAACCTCAAGAAGTCACAGAGATGGAGCTCCTTGACCCATGGAGAAAATGTGATCCTCAGGAATGGTGAGTGTTGGGAGGGAGGAGAACCTCACCAAAAGACTAGCTCTTGAGGTACTCCATATTCTCAGATATCTGTGTGTCTGGTAAAAGCAAATCACACTGCCTACTGAGAACCTATGCCATTTAGACATTCAGGGTGAAATGGACCGTGCTTAGTTCACCTATGTCTTTGTTTCCTTGGTTATATATGTGATGAGTTTGCTACTCTGCACAGGGTAAGAGCTCTGTCATTGTCCACTCTGACCAGCTTATCAGCTGTACTGTTGTTACTGTTTGTCCGAGGGCAAGAACACTGGAGGACCCAAGATAAGATAAAGGATGATCCAGACTCCTGCCAGCCAATAGGGCAAAGCCAGAGGGTAGCCCACGAGGAGTCTTGCCACATCTCTCTCCCACCCCTCACACGGTCAGGGGTGTCTATTATTCAAGAGAGCTATATCACAATGTGTGATTTAAATACTTGTTTGGGGAAAGCCATGGCCATGGACAAGGGTCCATGATATGACTTTCATAGATCTTAAGTACTTTCGCATTTGTGGGTCCCTTCCTCCATAAAACTTATAATTTATAATTGTGTTTTTTATAAAAATGAACTTGACCCAGACTGGATCCATTTTATTTCCAGACATGGAATATCGATTTCTCACTGTTTTTGGTTTTAAAATAAGAATTTCTGAACTTCTAAAAGTATTCCTGGACTCTAGACATTGTGTCTCCCATGCCTGATGGAGTTAGGCAATGTGGTCCCTTCTGTATTCTCAACATGCTCATGCAGGCAGAGGTCTAACTGATTTTAGGAGCTCACTATTTCTGTGACCAAACACATATTCTGGATGCCATGTTTCATAGGCTGATATACGGGCCACTAAGTGGGGGCAGTTATACAAAGTAGACATGTAAAGCCCCTGTCTGTAAGCAAGGACATCTATTTGCAGACTCCACCATCCTGCCTTTATTTTTCTGGTGTAGACAGGGTATCAGTGTGTATATGATGTGCTGAATTTATGTCTTTCCAAGAAGGTAATTTTCTAGGTAAGTGCTGTGATTTCTTCAGACTCTTGTGGGTTAGAATGATATGTAAGAGCATATGGCAGTGGATACTCAATCTGGCAAGTGCTGTTTTCTGACTACTTACCACGATGCCTGACTCATAGAAGTCACTCAGTAAATACTGCTTGGGTGAATGGAACTGTGACCTGGAACACTGCATAACGACACAGACTGCATATGTTTCAAAGAAAAGGGATTTGTGCTGGGGACATGGCTCAGTTGGTAGCTTGCTTGTCTAGCATGTATGTGGAAGATGAAGGCAGGAAGACCAGGAGTTCAAAGTCAGCTATACAAGGAGTTCAAGGCCAGCCTATGAGTACATGAGACCTTATACTGATCCAAGGTCAAGGGCCCATTTCTGCTATTATCATCTGATTGACAGAGTCACACAGTAGTGCAATACAGTGAATCACATAGCAAGGGGCTGGGAAAATATGGATATTATCTGGTTTCTCTCCTTGTCATAAAACCACCTATAGTTTAATCATGTAGCACCAATTCTGATGATGTTATTGAATCCCTAATCATCTCACAAAGACTCCTATATTGAAATATACTAAATACAATTAATACCTCACAAGAGAGATTAAGATCCAATAAGATCCAATGGCAGTTTCAGAGAAGACAAACAACATTGAGTTCACAGACAAGGTCACCACAGAGATACATAGCCTTAGAACCAGTCAGCCTAATGCTAGGTTGCTACTACCCCCTGTGAGTGTGATCTTAAGGTATGTCACTTCTGCCTATACCTACTTCCTTGATGCTAAAATGGACAATTACTAAACAACAGAATGATGTTTTCAAGAAGTCAGTGAGATAATGGATACCAAGTGACCAGTAACAAGCTCTGTGTGTGGGTGGTGCCAAAGTGTACCATACTATTATGGGTATGATGGCCTACATTCAAAACATTAGGATCAGAAAGCATTAGGCCTTTCTCATGAGCTTTCATGTTATATGGGGCTTTGCTGTGTGGCTGTTCTAGTGTTTTCTTGGACTTGTGACGTCACCCTGTATGAGTTCAGGGAGCTGCTGCCTACTAGGGTACCTTGATCATAGCCTTGTTTCTTTACCAAACTAGCATCCATGGGCCAAAGAGCGATGGTGGCTTTCTTCTCCACTTAGCTTCATGGACACTGCATTTTCTTCACAATAGTCTCACAGGCTCCTTACACATTATCTCATCTGGTTTGGGACTTGGCAAGTTTTTCATTAGCTGACTTAGCAACTGAAGAAAAGACTGTCCTCTCAAGGCCTCTCTTATCATAGGTAGGAGTCATGTTTCCCCTAAGCTTGGTTGCCTCAAGGAAGGGCCCCATGAAAGAAGTCCAGGATGTAGAGGTTCTCATTGGTGGTGTTCTATGACACACAGCCAGCCTCAAACATGGTGGGAATTTATGAAGTGGCCTTTCATTACTGACTGCTGCTTAGAGTTCTCTTAACCCCATCAAGCCAACCCCAAGCAGCCCAGGCACCACTCAGTCAGGCAGAGAACAGGGCCTCATTCATGGGTACCCATAGACAACTTGCCCACATTCTAAAGGCACTCTGTCAAGCCAAATATGCAAGGCCCAAACACAGAGACCTATATGGAAATGCCACCAAATTTCCTGGCTTCTTCCCCTAAATCTGAGTTATGTATTTATTTTAATTATATGTGTATAATATACAATGGGTTACTTTGGGAGAGAAAATAGCTGAAGAAATTAGAGTTATCTCCTCTTTTAGAGGACTTTGGGGACTCTAGAATCAGTATGTAGGGAAGCTGTGATTTCTTGAGGCAGGGTATGGTCCTATCCCATATTTTTTCTGTCCCCTTCCTCCTAGTCCCAGTCCCAAGTGCACTCTCAGACCTGGTAACATGCTCAAGGGCTGCTAGGAGAAGGTGAGTGGTGACGATGTGAGCCTACACAGGTCCTCTGTGGCCACTCTCAAAGTCTTCCTATCTGCCACCTATAACAGTTCCATTCACCCATGTGGGATAGGAGTCACCATGCTTCTCCTCCATGGGTGAATAAAATATGGGGGGATGTGTGACACCAGCGGCATGGACAAAGAGCACCAAGTCAATACGTGCAGACCAAAAGTTGGACTTTCCTGATGTAAGGGGTGTGGGTGCACGTGCACATGTGTGCGCCCATGTGTGTTTCAAATGAAGTGCCATGTGGGGTTACAATGCACTCGTATTAAAGGCAGAGAAAGAGGAAGAAGGAAAGAGGAGGAGAAGGAAGGGGACAGGAGGAGGGAGAATAGATGAAGGAGTCAGAAGAAAGGCAGTCAACCTTCACATCTGTAACTCGTATTTTGGTTATTTACAAGTCAAGTAATTTTTTGGTTTTGAATTTTTAAATGGCTTAGTGAGGAAGGTGAAGCAGGAGGATTGTTTGAAAGTAGTTTAGGGCCATTCTGGGGAGAATAGTGAGCCTGTCTCAAAAAACAGAATTTTTTAACCTTCAAGATAATATGTTCATTTTGAAAATTTTGAAAACACAAATGCACACACCTCAATTTTTCCACAGAGCCACTTTGCATGTAATAGGCTGCAAATCTATTTTTTAATGTGACAATAAGAATGATACATTTTTTATGCCAGTGTTATATAATCTATGACATTATATTGCTCAAGAGTATGTTTTAGATATGCCACATTTATTAATTTTATAACATCTAGATTATCACTAACCTTTTGGTATAGTATTAACATATCTTTAAGCATCCTTGAAGCTAAATTTTTGCTTGTATCTTTGATTATATCCTTAAGATAAAGTGTTGTTGGTGGAATGACCATGGCTGTAGGTTGGTTACACATTGACTGTGTCCCCGGTAAAATTTCTGTGTGCTGTTGTGAAAGCTGGTAAGATCTTTAAGAGTTGGGTTGCTCCTCTCCAGAAGGGATTAAAGTAGTTCTCAATTATAAAGACAGTGAGCTATTATACAAGAGTAAGCTCCACCCCTGAGGTGCTCCCTGGCTTACTGGCTTCCTATTTGGACATACTTGTGTAATGAGACCATCAACTAGGGTGTCTTCACCAGTGCTGGTGAATAACTACGAGCCAAATAAACCCAGTCTCAGGCATCTTGTAACCACAAAAAGAGTAAGATATACAGTCAAGCAAGAGGTTGAACAAATTGTAGAGATTGTTTGTGTCTGTCTGTCTGTCTGTCTATCTATCTATCTATCTATCTATCTATCTATCTACCTACCTATCTATCTATCTGTCATATATATATATATATACGTGTATATATATATATATATATATATATATAATCTCTCTATATATACACACACACACACACACAAATGTTATGCCAATCTGTCATTGTTCCAGCTTCAATAATGTGGGAAAGTGGCAAGTTCCCTGCTCACCTTAAAATAGAAAGGTTCAGTGAAGAGGTGTGTTTATTGTATGTGTATGCATGCACACATTTTTGAGTGTATATACATATTTGCAATTTTATATATATATATATGTGTGTGTGTGTGTGTTCATGTGCTCTAATGTTTGTGGCTGAATATATATATATTGAAAAATGTAGTCAGAAACTGCTATGTTTTAGGCATGGCAAGAATTCCCTGGGATATGGTGGTGGAGAGGAGAAATGAGCTAACTCCATGCATACTGGGTAGTGGGACAGAGCATTAGTGAGTGAATGAATAAATTATTTAACTACTGCTGTGTGGAAAATAGGCTTGTTCCAGACACAAAGAGTAACAGGACACACTCTAGACTAGAGATTCATGTTTCTAAAAGGATGATGTGAGAATTTGTGTGTCTAGAAACTAGTCCAGAATAGAAGATCTGGGCTTCTATCCAAGCATGGAGGTGGGTTCATTCCCTGATTTGGATGCAAAACTTATAGTACAACAAAAGCTTTCTACAAGGTTCTGGCATATCCAAAGGTGTCCATGGTAGGAATGGTGGTGTCTCTGAGTGTTCTTGGGAGGAGGGAGGAGTGGCTACCACTTTCACTTAAATAGTGAGGAGTGTATAGCAACACTTTCTGACTTTCTGAACATTCCTGATCTTTGGACTGACCAGCCTCAGTAATTCTAGAGTCACTGGCCAGATCTAGATGCCTACGTTTGGAGTACATAGAGTGGAAGCCATCTCTATTCTTACTGAAATAAAATCCCCAATCTACTTCAAGTGGCTCTGAATCCAAGTGTTCAAATTATCTCTGCCCATTCATGTCATCTTGGACTTGAGAAAGCATCAAAATTACCATTTGGAGACTCTTGCACATACACCCAGAGGATATTAAGAGGAGGTACTTGGTAAGACTGTCACTGCAGAAATAACCTTGAGAAAGTCCAAGGTATGGTTTAAGGTGTCATGCTGTGCCCACAGAGACAATGGGCCCAGTTTCCCAAGAAGACTGAGAAAGAGTAGCCCACCCAATGCAGGGTCTCCACTCAATGAGCCACAAGCATCCAAGCCTGATCTAGAAAAGTGGGTCTCTCAGCCACTCACAATCCTTAGGATGCTATGACTTCAGGGTTGAGACCCTCTGTGCACTCCCACATTCTTCCATCTAAAGTGGACTGTGGCACACCCAGTGACTACATGGGACTTTGCACAATGGCACACTGCCTAACTCCCCTTAACTGGAACAGAAACAGTTAAAAGAAATAGTCAGTACTCACTGGGGCCCTGCTTTCCATGCCCCAGACATTCAGTAAGCACCTGAGGCATATGTATGAGATCTGTAAAGCCCATCCAGACAGAAACTGCCCAGGTGTCAGGGGCTAGGCTTTGTTTATAATTTGTGCTTAGGACATGCAGTACTCCCATTAAATATGAAGCATGGACGTTGATTATATGAAATCAACTTAATCGTTCTGTTCCAGGGCACACAGTGTCCTGCGTTTCTAGTAGCTAGAAACATCTACTTTCAAAAGTAGTATTTGCCCCCTAGAAACATATCCCAATATTTTTCCCCATGTTTTGCTTTATGGGGAAAGCCTACAACAACCATTGCTTATTGTAAGGGATTTGAGATGCTGAGTAGAATACTTGTGTCATATGTGATCTGGCTTCTTTTATGTTTATCATCCACATTACAGGCAAAGCTACCATGGTGGTTAGGGACACTGCACTGCAGTGGCCTCTAGGATGGTTTTCATTTTCTACAAATCCATTCAAACTAAACATTCAGGAGAGATTCCCTATGGAGGGAAAGGGAACCAGCATCTCAGAAAGACTCCCTGCTCGCTAATTCTCCTTTGTCATCACAGTCATGCTCCTCCTCCCTACTCACTTCTCCATTATCTTAGATAGAAGAGAGGCTCCAGGCTTTAAGTACCATCTGGCAAAACTCCCCCCCCCCAATGCCCTAAGTGGATGCTGAAAAAGGAAAAACACCCGTTCATTATCTGAGCTATGGTAGACATTTGAGATCTCACAATCGGCAGCTATCCTAGGTGCCATTACAGTAGGGACCCAAGGAGACTCCATCCTTATTAGTCAGTCCACATGAACTTGACAAGGGGAAGTGGTGTCATCACTTGGTGACTCCAATCATTCTGCTGTTGTAGGATGAGGACCAAACAACTACTTTCCTCCCAGCATTCATTGCTCTTGCTCAGTTTCCTACCAGCCCATTATACTTAGCTTCTGTGGCCCAGTTTCTTACCATTTTCGTGCCTAGGATTAGGTTTCAGTTCCTAGAGTGTGAAAGACCAATACAGGTAAGCTCTAATTTCTTTATACAATTCTGTGGAGTCCTCCCATTTGCTATACTTAAAGTATCAACTATAAAATGGAGCTAAACAATGCAGCAACTGAACAGAAATCAAGGACTTAATCACAGAACATTCCTTAAGGAGCCAGTGTCCATGTGGATGCAAAGATGCATGTGCGAAGTTGTTCACTGAGATGTCAGTAACATAAGTGACAAATGTGAACAACTTAGCTGCACACAAATGAAACCTTTGTTAGTCCATTACTACCTTATGATAGAAGAGTATATAGCCATTTAAAAGCTAGCGTTTGTAATAGCTATATATTGATCTCTCAAATAACTTGATACCATGTAAAGACTTCTTTAATAAAAAGACCAATCCAACTTATTCCTTACTCAGAAGAGAATGGTACTGATTAAAGAAAAAAGTTATGCCTTCTGAATCTTACTCTGACATGGATGCCCTTCCATTTTATCTTATTACAAATCATATCGCACCTTTCTGCACTTATTCTGGAGTCAGTCGAAACAACAAATGTTTAATATTTTTACCTAATTTTTTTTCTCGACTTAAGCTTGTGTACAAATCCTTGGGAAGGAAGTGATGACATTAAAATTAGTAACTTGAAAAAAAGCTCAAGTTTGGCTCTATTCATTGCTGTGGGAGGATGTTTGTTTAGGTTGTTTCTTGAGACAGTGTTTACACTGTAGCCCGAAAGCTCTTAGACTCACTGTGTAGCTCAGGCTGGCACGGAACTCAAGTCAATCCTCCTGCCTCAGTCTCCTGAGCATGGAATCATAAGCATGTTCCACTATGTTCAATGACATTCATGATATTTTAATGAAGCAAACACAGTCTGAAAATAATATAAACATAATATAAACAGATCTAGAGGATGCAGTAGTTATTTATGGACACTGGTTAATGTGGGTTTTAAAAAACATTTTCTGCTTACTTCAAGTCAAAAATTATATTATGAGGCTGGAGGGATTGCTCAGTGGGTAAAAAACACTTGCCAAGGAAGTCTGATGACTTGAGCTCAATCCCTGGAACCCAGCAGGGAAGGAAAGAACTGACTCCTATAAGTTATTTTCTGACCTCTGCTATGACCATTCTCCTACACTTATACATACACCACTCTGTCACATACAAATAATAAAAATAAATTATGTATATTTGTGTATATATAATACATGAATCAGAATCAGAAACAACAAATATTCTGAGCATTTGTAGAAAATATTTAATATCTGAATCTTTTCCAGATAGCAACATGCCCCCGAATCAGTGGCGTCTCACTCCTTCTTGGACAAAACCCCGGCCAGAAGCATCTCTTGTAAATGGTGCCAGCAGCAGCCGCTTGGATGAATGTGTTCCTAAGGCTACAGATCAGTGCCCACTGTCTAGGCCCAAGACCCCTTCTGCACATCCTCAAGAGATGTGGCAATTTTCATCCCTAGAGAGGCGAGACTTAGAGTCGACCTACTCTCGTGCCCTTCCTGACAGGCATCCAGCTCCAGAAGTCTACCCTGATGAGAGATGTGAGTCCCTCCTGCATTTACTTCAGCAGGATAGATACCTAAACCGTCCTCTGGAACCTGCCACCAGGGAGAACTGCAACCATGCCAAGACAGCCGGAAACACAGAACTGCACATGAACTTGCCACCCAACTCAGACCACTGTAAGGAAATGTTTACAGATACTAATAAGGTCATTGTTTTTGACAGTGGGTTGGCGTGACATGAGGAACTACCACTCTGGACATAGAGATAAGGCTGCTGTCCAGAGTCATTATTTTACTTAAAACTTCCATATATTTTCACTAGGCCACATTGACATACACTGTTTAATGGCTAAAGGAGACAGCCAGACTGGCAGACTTGGCCTGAAATAATCCCCCCAGTCTGTTGACTTGGCTTTGTCCTAGAAAAAAAAAAAGATGTGCTTATGCCTAAAATCATAGAGTCTCATATTTACCTCCACTCCACTAAATAATCTATTTGCAAAACAGAGTTCTATGACGTACCTACAGGCTCAAACTCTGTTCTCCAAACAGGTTGACAACTTGCAATGATGCCAGACTCCTGGGCAAAAACAAGGACAATCTATACCAACCATCTGTTCTACACATTAAAATTCAAAGCAGCTGGAGAGGCAGCTCCATAGCTGACTGCAGATACAACAGTGTCTGGCTGTCTGTGACTCCCTGCTGCACAACGGGCTCAATTTCCTTTGGGTCTCTGCACCCTGATCACTTCTTCTCCCCCTGCACAAAAATAAGCCTCCAGGCTTGCCCACATTTTCTTCACTCACTCACCCAATATATATCAAATCAGTGACTGCTACATTCAAAATACTCATCTGAGAACAAGTGTCCCTTCATTCTTATTTTTAAAAGAAAAGATGGTGAGTTGAGTGCATTATACTTTCACAAAAATAGTGACGACCTCTTCCATAAGATTGGCCTTTCTTGTGAAATTCTTAATGGATATATCATACTCTTTCTTGAAGCCAAGACTGTATCCCCTAGCATTCTGTACACTGGGTGAATGATTTTCTTTCACAACTTTCTAGTTCATACATATCTGTGGTTTCATACCTGAAGGAAATCACTGGATGCTCTCTTTGCTGTGATTAGGCACACAGTCTACAAAGGGCTGATTCAGCCTTTCCCCCAAAGTCTGACACTGTGACCCATGTTGAAACAAATTTCCCATTAGAATAGGACCGTACTATTTCCATAGTTTAATTAGCTACATATAAAGAGAAGAAATCATGCAAATAGCATGCTTAGGAAACCTCTGAAAATTAACACTCCTGTCTTCTTTTTTAAAAATATTCTACTGGATTCAGAAGGAAAATGAGACCAACTGTGTTTATATGTATATCTATGCATACACACAGCAGAACTCTGTTTCAACAGTTGCTTAGAAAGCAGATGGCTCAAATCGGCATTTCCCCAACATAACAGCTCTATATAGTTCCAATCCCGTTACAAACCTTTAGTGAACATAAGCAAGGCACATCAGGGCCAAAGGATGATGCAGACATAGTTTATTCTTAAGACTGCTGCACACGTTCACACAAATGTTTATTATCTAAGTCAACTGGAGAAACACTTCACATTCCCCTACTAATGTTGACATTGTATTCTATTCACTGGTGTCTCATAGTCCAGAATTCACTAAGTAAGTTAGAGATCCTTCAGTAGTTCTGTGTGGGAGATGGGAAGAAGTTGTCAAAGGATATTCCATGGGCAGAATCTTCTGTTCTCAGCATTTGATAAGAGAAATCATGTCTTGTATCCATAAAGTGAGGGGCAGGCAATCTGGGGTCTATGGAGTGCTACAGGCTCCCAGCCCAAGGTTTCATTTCCAGTCATGTTTTCTTCCTCTTTTCTAGATAAGAAAATCTATGGTCATGGATCTGCCCAATCTTGGCAATGAAAGTAAGTAAAGGGGTCACATTTCCAAGTGTAGCACTGCGCCCTGAAAACAAATGGGAAGACTGTGTACTAAAGCAACCAGAGTCTCCAGAAGCTTCTGGGAGCCTTGTTTCCTCTATTAGTGTTTTCATAGATTGCATTGGTTATGTCTCATCTTCAAAGAGTTCAAATATGCACTATGTATTTTGCAAATTTTCTTGAACATGCTCTCATTTGGTCAGAGAAGCAACTCTACTGAATTCTGTAATCTGAGGAGCCCGACTCACCTACTCAGTCAAGATGACTCACTGAGAGGAATGAATCCATGAGGATTAGCTGTTCCAGATGTTCACCTTTCAGCCACCCCAGAACTGAATCTGCAGTCAGGGAAAATGTGTCTAAGGCCCAAGGACAGGAACCTGGGCTTTACACTAAATTTGAAATTAGACGCTTCAAACTGAGGACAGTTTGGGTAGAAAGGAAAGAGAGCTTGATGAAGCCTAACTAAATTCAAGGTTCTAATTCCAATTTTGATACTTACTAGTCTCAAGGACTTGCTCACAGCTTGTGACCCTCCCTATGCCTTGGTTGCTTCATTCATAAGACTACCCTAAAAATAGTGACCACTGCTCAGGGGTGGTGATGCAGAGGCAGTGGATCTCTATGAGTTTGAGGGCAGCTTGGTCTACAGAGTGAGTTCCAGGACACAGGCTTCAATGTTACACAGAGAAAGCCTGTCTCAGAAAACCCAAATAAATAAATACAGTGACTACAGTATAAGGGTTCTGTGGGAACATAATGAAATGGTGTATGTGGATGCTTAGAATAATACTTTGCTATAGTGTGGTGGTTTGGAAGAAAAAAGCCCCAAAGGGGTGATACTATTAGAGAGTGTGGCACTGTTAGAGTAGGTGTGACCTTATTGGAGGAAGTGTGTCACTATGGGAATGAGCTTTGAGGTCTCCTATGCTCAAGCTTTTCCCAATGAGACAGTACACATTCTCTTGACTTCTGAACAAGATGTAGCCAGCACCACAAGTGCTTGTATGCCTCCATGTTCCCTGCCATAATGATAATGGACTGAACCTCTGAAACTGTAAGCCACCCCAATTAAATGTTTTCCTTTATACAAGTTGTCATGGTCATGGTGTCTCTTCACAGCAATAGAAACACTGACTAAGAAATATAGCTATCCACTGGGGCAGTATAAAGTGTCTCATGAATATAGCTCAGTGGTGGATTGCTGGCTCAGAATGCCTTCTTAGCATATAGAAGTTCCAGAGATTATCTCTAACATAAAACAAAACCAAAAGCAAAGAGCATGGGACTTTTTAGAAGTCATTTTATACCCCAAACTTACTCAAAGAACAAAATTAAAACCACCAGCATACTCCCTGAGTTCAGATGATCTTAGTTGTGTGGTGACCTTGGCTGCAGGAAGACATACTCCAGTCTTTCCCTGCCTTAGGGACTTCTATACAAGTAAAGCAATGTCCTCAACCACATCCCAGAAAATGATTTCAGAGGCTAAATTATCAACTGTGTTAAGTAATGTTAAGGGGAAATACATGCTTTGGATTTGTGAAAGGACAAATGTACATATTTGAATTATTGTATTTTAAGTTACGTTGATCAAAGGATGCAATTTGCAACAAAATGTAAGGATTAAGCAAAGAGCAAAATTAAGTTATTTAAAATTAAATAAAACATAAAAATAATTGGTGGGATTATTTCCCTTATCTTAAAGATTTTATCTTTTGCAAATGATACCATAGCATAGTTCATGAAGTACATAATTTAGATTTAAGGATGAGAAAGGGGTTCTGATACAGATAAAATCAAGCCCATGGACAATCCGGCTTTCAGTAAGCGTAGTGGGGTTTTCTTTCTTGTTTTCTGAGGTTCCACACATTATATTTAATCAAAGAAATGAAATGGGAAGAAGGTATGATAAGAAGTACAACTGATGTTATCTGCCAGTGATATTGTCTTATACTAGAATCTTACGGAGTACTCAGTATTAATATATCCATTCAACATGAGGAGAGTAGAGTTCAGGCAGACTAAGGCCACATAGCTAGGTTCTGGTGTAACCCTACCCTCATACCCGGGCTCATTTGATTCTTTTCTTTTCTTTTCCTTCTTTCCTTCTTTCCTTCCTTCCTTCCTTCCTTCCTACATTCCTTCATTCCTTTTATCCTTTCTTTTCCTTTCTTTTTTCCTTCCTTCCTTCCTTTCTTTCTTTCTTCCTTCCTTCCTTTCTTTCTTTCTTTCTTTCTTTTTTGAGACAGGGTTTTTCTGTGTAAACTTAGCTGTCCTGGAACTCACGCTCTAGACTAGGCTGGCCTCGAACTCATAGAAATCTACCTACCTGTCTCTTCTGTGTGCTGAGATTAAAGGCGCTAACCACCATACCTGGCTATTCAGTTGATTCTAAAACTAGCTTCTTCACCATTACACTTACCCTGTTTTCCAGGAAGTCAATCTCCAGAGAGAAGAAGAGATCTCTACTATTATTAGAATCGGTTGGAAGAACAGAATTTCTTTTGGGGCAGCCTGATCATGCTTTTCTACTGTGGATCCTGAAGTCATTACTGTCGCTTTCTGTCCCTGCTGCTAAGAAATCAAGCACAAGTCACCGCTCTCTTTTAAATTTTGCTCTGCTTTTCCTTAGCAACTGTGCCTTATGGCAGGGGTTTTCAAACATAAGCAAATTCTCAGCTTATAAAATGAAGGAAAGAGTTGTTGTGGGGTGAGATGCACAGACGTCCACCTGTTGTTCATTGTTCTGCCTCACTGCATCTACTGACCTTTACCTTAGAAGCCATGGGTTCTCAGGTTCCCAAGCAGTATCCTTTAAACCAAACCTGAGCCCATGGGATTTTATGAGGTTGTTTGGCTTTTCTGACGATGTTAAGGGGCCAAATCAGTCCAAGAATGTTCCAGCTTAAACCAGACTGCAGTCAACCCCACTCCAGACTCAGAGAAAAGTCAAAAAAATATGGCATGCAAAAGGCTCCACTCCCCAAATAGAGACCTGGTTGAGGCTGTTGACTCCCTCCATCTCCAGCGTCTAGACTTTTGAGAAGTCTGGGCCTGTTCAATGAAATAGTTTGCTTAGAAAATTTAGTTCTTTGGTTCTAGCTAACTGATTCCAAGGGGCATTGTTGAGAATTTTGAGATGGAAATTGAACAAAGTTTTTTGTTCCAGCATGAGCCTGCTGCTGGATCAGAACTTATTCTGAAAGATTCAGGGCATTTCTTGGTTGCACTTCCATGAGTTTATGTCATGCCTTGTTCTGAAGACAGGACCATGGTATCTGGCAGCGAATAGATGCAACATTAGATCTTGGGTGGCCTTTTGACCCCTTCAAAGAGCCTAACTAGCTTCCACAAACCATGTATGACCATCTTGGAGTTCAGAGGTAGCAATATTTCTTTTAACTGTTGGGTTATCTATGCTGATACTCACGGTAGTTTTGTTAAGTAGGAAGGACAAGGTGAGGCTTGCTTCATCTCCCCAGGCTGGTAGGTAGCATCATATTTGTGTGATCTGGGTACTTTCCACGTGACAATCCAGAAGCCCCTGACAACAGTGCTCTGCATCCATGACATACTTGCTCTTATGCAACATTCCAGAGGGTAAAGACTATTAAGACTCTGCTGTTGTTAGATGCTACTAGTTTGTATTCTAAGGATTTTCTTTTTGTCTTGGGTTGATATTTGCCACCTACTATCTCATTTAACCTTCCTAAAAATTCATGAAACTTACCTTTAAATAAAAATACAAGCAGCTGGCAATTTTCCTACTTCAATTAAGAGGGATAAAAAGAACTCCTGATACCAGGAGATCCCATAGTCCTCTGACACACATAGGCAAATCCTTGTCCAGATAACAACCACTATTTAATCTTTAATTTCGACTTCTAGATCTATCCTGTTTGGTGCCTACCTGACTTCCAAAGAGTTTTTCTTTAATTCACTTTGTCATTTTAATTTTGCAATTTAAAAATGTCCCACCCTACCCCTTTACAAAACATATACCATTATTTACACACCTAGGAGGGGTGGCTGGGCCACTGTACGGTGTGTGGCCTCATATATGTACACGTTGATAATCTGGAGGCATGCTAGTTGAGTGGGAGAAGGGGACAGGAAGTGGTAGTTTTCCACCAGATAGATCAGTCTTGATGCTGTTTGAATATTCCCAGTGGAAATACCTTAGAATCTATGAGGGTGATTGTGGGAGATGTCATTCTGTAAATATGTTTCTCATACTGGTTAATGAATAAAGCACTGTTGGCCAATAGGAAAGCAAGATAGGCAGACTAGGAGACAAGGAGGATTGGAGGAAATGGTAGGAAGGAGTCAGCATATTGAGAGAGAGTAGAACAGAGGTCCAGGCCCATTCTCCAGTAAGATGAGACCACGTAGAAATACTTAGATTAACAGAAATGGGTTAATAATTAAGACAGAGCTAGCCGATAAGAAACTAGTACTTGGCCAACAGAATTATATCTAATACAGAGTCTCTGTGTATTAATTGGTACGGCGGCGGGACCCGACCAGCAGTGGGCGGAAAAAACTACTTGTAACATTATGGCGCTGCAACGTGGCTAATAAGAACTTCAACTTAAAATTTAACAAAAGCTTAAAAATGGGTTTTAGGAACAAAAGAACAAAGACAAGCAAGGCTTCTTACTAACAGCATTTTTCTCAGTTGGACTCTTTTGCATGAGACAAGCAAAGATTTCCATGGCTCCTTTAAGGGAGATTTTCTGATTCAGCATAAGCAGCAAAAAAATCGCAAGGCTTTTAAAGAGCTCTGTTAACAATTCATGGGTGTGTATGAGAGCTGGCAATGGCAGTGACCACATCTCCAAGCCGGCAGCATGCTGCTGGGTGCAGCACAGACCAAGGCAGTGAGCACAGCTCTCAGTGCTGGCGGTAAAATAGCCTCCGCCATCACCGTGACTGACACAGTTATGACTTTCATTTTAGCAATGTTGTTGTTTACCAGATAAAAGACTCATGGCCAGAAAAAGATAAAGATTTACAGTAAAGACAGATTCAGATTAAGAAAAACAGCTAAAGGTTTACATTTTGTTTTAAAATGTACATAGACATGGGAGAGAAAAAAAAAAGGAGTCATGGGTTCGTATCCCACTTTTGACACCAGATATTGTGATTTAATAAGGATCAGGATAAACAAATAGGCCGAATAGATGTTTATTCATGGAGAAATAATTCACAACATAGACAGGTGAACACCAACAGGTTCCTGCTTCCAAGAATGCCTCCGGAAGTCTTCCTTTCCCCGTGTGGCTTGCAAGAGAGCATTCCCCCATTCCTCCTCAGACCTAGTTCCACAGGTCACTTCTGCCCCTGGCTCCACCCCCAATGGGCGTGGTCAGTGCCACACAAGGAGACCAAGTGAATATCCTGCTACAGGTGATCATAACGAACATTCCTAGTAATGTGGGACACAGAATCTGAACCACTCATCTCTCATATCCAAGCAAAGCTTCCTGTGGTGGGACTGGGACATCTACACAGCCACAAAACCTTCAACCTACAATCTATCATGCCTGCAAGATGTACTAGGGCAATGATGGCACAGAACTTGTAGGAGTGTCTAAGACATGATTGGTCCAACTGGAGGCCCAGGCTACAGGAAGGAGCCCAAGCCTGACAGTGCTGAGATGGCCAGGAACCAGAGACTGGACAGCACAGAGAACTAGGATAGAACCAACATAACTTGAAAGCAAAAGTCAATGAAATGATTCCTAATGATATTCTGCTATACTTGTAGACCAGAGTCTAACATAATCGTCATCAGGGAGACTTATACAGCAACTGATGGGAGAAGATGTAGAGGCCCATAACCAAACACTAGGCAGAGCTCAGGAATCCTGGGGAAAAGAGGGAGGAAGGATTGTAGGAATCAGAGGGCTCAAGGACATCACAAGAAAAGTCACTCAATCAACTAGCCTGGGCTCATAGAAGCTCACAGAGACTGAAGTGACAACCAGGGATCCTGCATGAATCTGACCTAGGTCCTCTGCATATATGTTACAGTTGTGTAGCTTGGTCCTCTTGTGGGACTCCTAACTCCTAGGAGCAGGGGCTGGCTGGCTCTGAGTCTTTTGCCTGCTCTTGGGATCATTTCCTCCTACTGGGTGGCCTCACCCAGCCAAGATACAAGGGTTTGTTGCCTAGTCTTACTGTAACTTGTTTTGCCATATTCAGTTGATATCCCTAGGAGGTCTGCTCTTTGCTGAAGGGAAACAGAGAAGTGAATCTGGGTGAGAGGGGATGTGGGTTTGGGGTGCAACTTGGAGGAGTGGAGGGAGGGAAAACTTGTCTCTATTTCCCAAGAGTTGAAATTACATGTAGGAGACATGGCACCCAATTTAAATGCTTTTTCTTAATAAACTTCAACTTTGTCCAAAACAAAATAAAAATGACTCAATGTGACTACAAGCTTTTCCTTAGAGTTAGGTCACATGAGTTCTGGCCACCTCCTTATAACTAGCTATGCCATCTTGAATTATTTACTGTCATCCAATGATCCCCTTCCCAACCTAAGCAGTCTTAGTTTACCTGGGTGTAAAATACGTTGAGCTGTAAGGTCTTTTCCAGCTATGAGAGAGCCTGTCTTTTGAAATAAATATGTCAGTTACAAGAGCTATCAGCAAATGTTCCCCGTATCTCAAAGAAAGTGACAAAGTCTGGATGACTGAAGAATAGAGAAGAGAAATGTGGCAGATATAGAGAAATGCAGCCAGGATCACTGAGTTTGAGGCTAGCCTGGTCTACAGCGTGAGTTCCAGGACAGCCAGGACTATTACACAGAGAAGCCCTGTCTCAAAAAGGATGAGGGGGCAGTGGTTCTGGAAGCTGACACAGGAAGAGCTGATATCATGAGATTTTTTTGCCACCCTGGGCTACATAGTGAATTAATTCCAGGCTGCTAAAATGAGATTCTATTTAAAAAATTGTAAATACATTAAAAAATTTTTAAACAAAATTTTCCACTCAGGTGCAGAGACTGAGAAGGCTGTCTGAGGGCATGCTCTAGCCAAGAACTATAGGACTACTTACTGTTCCTTCTGCACAACTGGGGTTTCTCCAATGGGAAACATTTATTCCAAAAATCCCTGTGAGATAGTCGAGACTTTGTCAGTCCTGCATTGTGGTCAAAGTCCCTGTTCAATTCTCCTTCAGCTGCCATTTCCCCTGCAGCTTTTACCTCTCAAGACCTCACAAACCTCTCACAGGCCTGTATTCTGGAGCCCCCAGGTAACACATATACCTTGAGAGATAACACACAGACTCATTGAACAGATGGCCATTATGGTTGATATGATAAGGAGTTGTCACTCAAGCAGGAAACATAGGTTAAGCTAGGATTTCTGAGGCTGAACAACTCTGACACTTGGAAAGGAGAGTTAAGGTGGACGTCAAAGTAGTACCTCAACTTAATTCCCAGACATATCTTCAACCACCTTCTCAGATCATCTTCCAAGCTAGAAAGTGACTGTGTACAAAACAGGAGATAATTCTTCCACAAGTTCACTTTATCCACACCCCCCTCACCCCAAACCCCTACTATCAGGGGCCTTGCTGAATATACATACCCCTTAGCTCTTCTCTAGACTACTGAATCAGGAGTTCTCAGAGTAAGAACCATCCTCACCCAATGACTCACTCTCATATTAACTCAGTTTCCTACTGCCATAGAAACCATTTAAGACTAACTTGGTTGCTTTCAACAATTCAACTGTTGTATAGACTTCTGGAGGTAAGATGTCCTCCTTATTGTCCTAAGATCAGTATGCCTGGACAGTCTGGAGAATTGGTTCCTTCTGGAGGCTCCCAGGGAGAGTCAGATTTCTCCTTGCCTTTTCCATTTTGTACATTCCCTGCCTCTTGGGTATTTTCTTCCATCTTTAAAGCCAGTATTATTACATCTCTTTGACTATTCTTCCTTAATCATATCTCCTC